AAATAAAATAAAATAAAATAAAATAAAGGGGGAGGGAGGTGACCCAATTAGCTGACATAATCTAGAACTCCCAGATCTTCACAATGCTTGGTATAGCTGACTCTTACTGATTCAATGGGATTTTGTAATTCCTGCTAACCCCATCAGTGAATTTTCCAAAAGTTTGAAAACACCCCTCTAGATCACTATCTTTCACATTATTCAGGCATCTGACTCCTGTGTAAAGTCTAGACAGGTCTTTAAAGCTCTGGTATTGACACTATTCTTGAACTCTGCCTTTTTCTGTATCACCTCCAACACACAAGAGAACTTAAACCCTACTACAATTTCCTCCCTGAGCTCTGAATATACTGATCTTCCTCCAAGAAGAACAGATAAAAAAAAGTCAAGGAGGGCACTGGCCAGTGTGGTTGAGCATCATCCTGTACACCAAAAGGTGGAGGGTCATTCTCCAGTTGGAGAGCTTGTGAGGCAACCAATCAATGTTTCTCTCTCTCATCGATGTTTCTCATCTCTCTCTCCCCATCTAAGTAAAAATCAATAAAACATATCCTCAAGTAAGTATTGAAAAAGAAAGCCGAGGGACTGAATTAATAAAAATAAAATCTAAAAAACCCTATTCCTCAAGGGAGAGAAGGTACTTGATTTGAATTAGATCTCAAAGAGGATTTGAGTCATGACAAACTCAATTTAAAAAAGAAAAAAGGAGGCCAAGAATAGGGGTCAAACTGGGTAAAACTACAGGTATAGAATCCTTTAAAAACAATAGAAAACCACAGGCTCAGTTTGAATGCCTCTGAGAACACATGGCAGACTGGTCTAAGATCACAGATGTTAGAAGACAGGCAGCAGTCACTCAGGATGTACTCAGCCACTAATTCAAAGTTCTTACAGAAGTGACTACTGAAGCCTGTGATTGACCGTTTTCATTAAAAACACAGGTTGGCCCTAGCCGGTTTTGCTCAGTGGATAGAGCATTGGCCTGCGGACTGAAGGGTCCCAGGTTCAATTCCGGTCAGGGGCACATGCCCAGGTTGCGGGCTCGATCCCCAGTAGGGGGCGTGCAGGAGGCAACCAATCAATGATTCTCTCCCATCATTGATGTTTCTCTCTCTCTCCCCTCCTCTCTGAAATAAAACAAAAACAAAACAGGTTGGCCCTAGCTGGTTTGGTTCAGTGGATAGAGCTTTGGCCTGCGGACTAAAGGGTCCCAGGTTCCATTCCATTTAGGGCACATGCCCAGGTTGCCTGCTGGATCCCCAGTGGGGGGCTTGCAGGAGGCAGTTGATGAATGATTCTCATCACTGATGTTTTTATCTCTCTCTCCCTTTCCCTTCCTCTCTGAAATCAACAAAAATATATTAAAGAAAAACAACAAAGGTTAGCCTGCTCCATAAAACATAGCCCAGGACTATTTTTGTCTTTTCCTAACTCCTAATAGTGTGACAACTTGACAATTACAAACGATATCCAGTGTTTTAAGCGCTTACTTCTTTGACTTTCAGTGGTCTTCCACTCAGACTATGCTTGTTTAGAACTTCAGCAGCTTTTTTCATGCTCTCTTCCATCTTGAATTCAACAACGCTAAGAAGAGTCAAAAGGAAATGAGTGAAACCAGTCCTGCAACTTAGAAGGCTCAATTGCCAATAAGTAACTAGACAATACTTACGCACATCCCTTTGGAAGAAGCCACAGACCAATCAGAAGAGCAAGGAAAGGGGAAAAGAAAAGAAAAAAATATTAAATATCAATGACAGTTATAAAAATGATTTATGTAACAAAGTTAGGTTGTTGTTTTAAATTAACCCTTCTAAGAGGAAGCTGACAGAAGTGTCTTGCTTAGCATTCCTTATTAAAAGCTGGGCTCCTTATTATCTCCTTTTCCTGCACGTTACCAGCATTGCACTAGAGTTGCTGAAGTTATAATAAGCAGACCTAAATTCAGGTTCTCCAAGAAATCACACAAACTTTAGATCTGCTTCCCTCAATCAATTCCTTACCATACTCCTCCTAAATCCATCCCTTCCATTAACTGAGCTCATCCTTTTGATTATTCTAAGCCATTCTATTGCACAACAGAAAATAGTTTATTTTCTCTTTAAACGAGGCCAATTTTAAACGTTCAGATTTTAAATATTTGTTTTACAATTTACTGGCAAAAAGGCAATCTTTTCGGAATCTTTGGTTCACACAACTTTCAAATTCAGCAAACAACCAAGAGTAACATTTTCTAGACAAGAACGCACGTTTTACATTAATATACCACCACTAAAATTCCATGCATAATTCACACACAGCCAATTCCTCTGTTAACAAAGAGACAATGCTACAATTGGTCCCCAGTTATCAAAATTGGGCATCCAAACAGAATACCAAAAAGCTCTTTGGCCAGCCATTTGGAAAAGCAGGACTCCCGTTTGCAAATCCCTTCCCACCCCACTCAAATGTTTGGCAAAATCAAACATGGCTACTATAACATGAGCACTCACTGCCTTCCTGATTTCATTCGATTCCACGCCACCATACAGTTACATTTTTCATGTAGTAAATCCACAGAAGAAATTCTCTCAGACACTTACCCTTGACTTTCCTTCAGCGTCCATTAAGAGCTCCACGTATGTTACCTCACCAACTACAAATCAGTTTCCAGACGACACATAAACCAAGGGAGAAAAGCCAAGAAAACAATGGGAATTTAGAACAATCATCAGCAACCTTGTATGGAGCCTCTGCCTTATAAGAAAGCCCAGAAACACTCCATATTCTCTAAACCACAGAACTAGGCATTACAGGTGTGCAGTAAAGGTAGGTGAAACTCATTAACAATGTCCTTGATGTTCCTCCCACCACAAACAGATTTCCGTATCAATTTCTCTGTCTGGACCTCTCATTCATGACTAGAGGCAATCCAAATCTATAGGAAAGAAGTCCGCGTGATTCACTTTCTGGGTAAGGGAGAAGTTTTACACATACACTCTTACTGGTGAAAGCAAGTAAACAGCACACAAAGTGCAATGCCACTAGACCAGGGGTGGGCAAACTTTTTGACTCAAAGGCCACAATGGGTTCTTAAACTGGACCGGAGGGCCGGAACAAAAGCATGGATGGAGTGTTTGTGTGAACTAATATAAATTCAAAGTAAACATCATTACATAAAAGGGTACGGTCTTTTTTTTTTTTTTTTTAGTTTTATTCATTTCAAACGGGCCGGATCCGGCCCGCGGGCCGTAGTTTGCCTACAGCTGCACTAGACTGAGCTCAAATGCTATATCAAGAATGTGTATATGCTCAAAGGGTTACACACGGTGTTGCGTGCTACATGAGTGAGCAACCTGCATAATCCAGGGGGCCCTGCGCTCAGGAGAGCCATGTGCTTGGTTTAATATTGTTGTTGTGGTCTTGAAATTCCTAATTTTTAAACAAGGGGGGACCTGCATTTTCATTTTGCTCTACACCCCACCAATTCTATAGCTGGCCCTGCACAAAGCAGTGGGCCCAACAACTGTCAGAAGTAGGATGTTTGAATATTCAATCACAAAACCAGAGCAGCACCTGGATTCTCCTCAGTGAATTAAGCCAGGCTTTATTCTTGCTGCCTTCTCAACTTCCTCAATAAAGAATACAGATTAAATACAAATTTAGATCTCAGTTTGGCCTGGCCGGCATGGCTCAGTGGTTCAGCGTGCCCTATGGAACCAGGAGGTCACAGTTCAATTCCTAGTCAGGGCATATTCCCGGGTTGCAGGCTCAATCCCCAGTGGGGGGTATGTAGGAGGCAGCTGATCAATGATTCTCTCTCATCATTGATGTTTCTATCTCTCTTTCTTCCTCTTCCTCTTTGAAATAAAAACAAAAACAACAAAAAACCCCCACAAACTTAGTTTGTAACTAAACAATTAAACAGACTCACGTGCTTCTAATCTACACAAAGGGGGAAAAACAAAGCATTTCAAAAGATTCTGCAGATTTTCCTAAAGGTTTGGATTGCCAATTCATGACCACCATGCCCAGATGTTAAAACCCATCAAGTCAACCATTAAAATGGCTGCTGAACTTGAAGATGATACACAGAAATTTAAAGTGTTAATTTGGAGAAAATCTCTAAACAGGCTATTTTTTAAAGTATTATTTTTATAATGGTAAAGCCTTCTCCAACTCAGTTTTCAAGTTTGGTTTAGCACTACAAGAGTAAAAATAACCCTCTTAATGGCCTCAATAAGTCCTGCCTATTCTACCTCCTTTGATCAAAAAATATTAAAATTATTATTGGATTTAAAAATATTGCTAGGAGATATTTAAATGTAAAATAAAATTATTTTTTTTAAAATATATTTTATTGATTTTTTACAGAGAGGAAGGGAGAGAGATAGAAAGTTAGAAACATCGATGAGAGAGAAACATCGATCAGCTGCCTCCTGCACATCTCCCATTGGGGATGTGCCCGCAACCCAGGTACATGCCCTTGACCGGAATCGAACCTGGGACCTTTCAGTCCGCAGGCCGACGCTCTATCCACTGAGCCAAACCGGTTTCGGCAATAAAATTATTTTTTTAATTAACAATTTGAAAGGCATATTTATTAGTAATATATTTGCATGGCATTGAAAGCAGGAAAGCCAAGTGTTCAAAGGTTAAGTCTACAGCCTTGCCTTCCTTGTCCTTTCCTGAAATGTTTACCAAACCAGGACTTTTCACAAAACAGGAAGGAGAATCAGTGCAGAGATGAAGGAAATAGGAGCGACTAGTAAATTTAAACGTGTGGAGTATGTACTCCTGAGGTGCAAACTGAAAAATGACCATTGACAAGGGACAGTAATACAAATTGTCTTTATTTCACCCATACAAAAGTAAAGCAATTCCAAAAAAGTTGTGGCCATTCCTGAAGCCATGTTAAGAGCCATTTATTTCAATAGCAGCAGCCATTTGAGCACCAACAGCCCTTGTCTCCACTTAAATCAGTGGTTCTCAACCTGTGGGTCGCGACCCCTTTGGGGGTCAAACGACCCTTTCACAGGGGTCGCTTAAGACCATCGGAAAACACATATATAATTACATAATGTTTTTGTGATTAATCACTATGCTTTAATTATGTTCAATTTGTAACAATGAAATTGGGGGTCACCACAACATGAGGAACTGTATTAAAGGGTCGCGGCACTAGGAAGGTTGAGAACCACTGACTTAAATGAAAATGCCAAGTAGCCCTAACTGGTGGTTTGGCTCAGTGGATAGAGCGTCGGCCTGCGGACTGAAGGGTCCCAGGTTCGATTCCGGTCAAGGGCATGTACCTGGGTTGCAGGCACATCCCCAGTAGGGCGTGTGCAGGAGGCAGCTGATCGATGTTTCTCTCTCATTGATGTTTCTAACTCTCTATCACTCTCCCTTCCTCTTTGTAAAAAATCAATAAAATATATATATATATTTTAAAAAGCCTAGTAGTGTCAAGCCAATGAATAGAGAATCCAAGTTTATTTACAATGAGCTATGACTGTGACTACTGCCTAATAACCTTAAAAATAAATAAAAGAATCACAGTATCTAACTCAAGGATAACTGTAACTATGTTGTCAAAAGTCAAATACTGTTGCATTTGGACAGTATCTAGTCTGTGCCCATAAAGACACTTTATCAAAAAGATGTCATTGCAACCTAGAAACCAAGCAAGTCCCAACCAAACTTTTCTCCATGGTCATAACCATTTTAACAAAAGCCAGGTTTAGAAATTAGGACTTTTCACCCTTAACATTCTAGTGATGAAACACACGCAACCTTCAATCCTTTGCTTTAAAAAAATTGCTTAAAATGCTCCCCCCTCTCACTTACATTATACTAACCCTCCTCTCAGTTTAGTCATAAGTGAGGCAGTCACTGTGGCTCTAGCATGAGCAGTGCTGTTCCCAAGGATCATCAATTAGCAACTGCTGCAGAGCTTCTCACAGGCTCTGCAACAGTTGCTAATTTATACTTCCCTATAGGAAGACCTGTTTAGTAGTCAGTACTACTATCAACAAAACTTTGAAGCAATCTGGCCATATTCAACGAAATAAATAAAAGGACCAATCAACCAGGAGTGAAGGCAGAGTTCACAAATTGGCCTTGGCAACAGTGCCACAAAAATGGAATTCACAGGTATTAATGAAAATTACTGTTGCTCCCCGTCCCCCCCGTTGAACATGGATGAAATGCCAAGAGGAGACTGCTAAGACAAGTTCTATTGCAGCTTAAATATAAAAATATCTGCAGGAAAAAACTATGACTCTGAAAAGCCTAATAATGCCAAATGTTATCACCTACCTTTACTTTAAAATGCTCCAAGAAATCATTTTTAGGTGGATTATTAAAAATACTATCTCAAAAAGAGAAAAATAAAAAGTGACTATATATATATATATATATATCCATCCTCAAGAATAAAAGGCACCAGGAGGTTAAAGAGATGAACAAACCAAAATTCAGGCAGTCCTTGGAGCTACTCTGACTTAACACTTCTGAATGCATTTTTACCACAAAGAGTGTTTGTTTCTGTGTTTTCATTTACTGCTCAAGTCTGAAATGGACCCAAAAAAAATAGAGTAGTACAGAGGTCCAAGTCACTAAAGAGAATTCATATGTGAAAAGGCCTCTAATTTAAAAGGAGGAAGGAGACCAGGGCATGTTATCAAACATTTTCACCTCATAATAAGGTAGACACTCTAATGGAAGGGTGCATAGATTACATATTTGAATTTGAAAAGCTTGTTTAATATATATAAGCATATATATAGGTTGTTTATATATATATAGCTTGTTTCTCTTATATATGGCAAAATAATTATTCTACACAGTGCTTACTTAATTTATAGACAAGTTAGAAACTGATTGAGCCCATTCTTCATAAGTTCTCCAAGAGTCTCCATGGAGATTATCTCCAAGAGCCACTGGAGATCTTCTACTGGACTACACATGCCCTCTGGGCCTTTGTTTTGTGTTAGCTGGAATTTAAAATTTACTTGAGGTGATGCATTAAATAAAAATAGAAGGATTAAGTGCTTAACGAAATCTTTGCTTACACAAGTTAGACTGACTGATGCTAACCTTGGGATTGATTCAGAGTAAACTACATCACTGACCTTCCTTTTCTTCCTCACACTGCTCTGTGCTTAACTGCTGCTGCAGCTCAGTCCTGCTGGCTCCCAGGTTAGGCCAGAACAAGCAGCCCCATGCCAAGCTTTCTTCATCTACACAGGACTTCCCAGTAATGTAGCACAACACTGCTTAAGTTTAAAATACCCAAGATCATCTTTTGCTCACAGAAATGATACTTCTTTGCCCAATCCTTATGGACAAACACTTTAAGATGTGTATCCTAATTAGACAGCTGTTGAGACCGTTACGTCACTCTCAAACTTGGTTTGGCAATCTCCAAATTTCATATTACACTGGCTCTCAAAAAAATATTTTTTAATCCAGTAACAATTTGGTCTTCAGAGCTGCCATTTTTTCCCCCCATGCAATATCTCCATAAAAAAAATAAGCACAGTCAAAAGGAAGGACAATAGAAACCTTTCCTGTGTCCCATAGAATAGGAAGGGGAAAGCTCAGGGAAAGAGGGCATTCAATTCTAAGGACTGTGAAACACTTTAATTTATGTCTTTAACTGATATTGTGGGGGTGAGCAAAAAATCAGCAATGTTGATTTCATGATAGTGCCACCAAAAAAAGCTGGGCACCAAACAAGCTTTGTGATCCCACAAAGGGTTTGGAAAAGCCAGGGGGAAAGTGGCCAGTTTACATAATACATGAATTATTAGTAGGATCTTCCAGAATGCTGATCAATGCTAAAATTCAAGACGAGTACTATAAAATACCCTGATGTCGAAGAAGGGGAAAGACAGGGAATTAGGGAGTAGTGCGTGAGGCAGTCTCAGGCATGATTAATGATTAGGCTTAGAAAGCTTCTGTCCTGCCATCTCAGAGCTGCTACCTTAATTCTGAGAGGTGGCAATTAGACGGTGCTGCAATGATATAACATTATTCAGATCTTGAGGACAAATTATTCCACTAGTTTTCTGAAACAGGACAATTTCATCAGGGACAGAATCTTAAAATGCAGACTGATAGAGTGATTGGGTTATGACAGCCCAAATCTCTGCTTTGCCCATAGTAGAGATTATTTTGAGACTAATGCTTTTAGCATGTGTCTCTATCTGCATTTTCCCCCCCGTGCAATAAGTCTTCAAAAACCTTAAAACATATTTGCAACAGATTTCACATAAATATTTCAGATTTCAAATAACTATTTACTAGGTATACCAGTTAATAATGTGGATTTTTTTCAATAGATGGAGTTACACAATTGTTGATATATATGCGATTTGATATGTATGCTATTTTGTAGTGATCAAGCTTCAAAACTTCGTATGTCAAATTTGCTGAAGGTGTTAACATCAGTTATTTTTATGCTTAAAAATGTTGAATTTCGTGCCAAAAAAGGAGCATTTGTGGGAAGTTTTAATTCATTACTTCATTTTGAAGAAAAAGTTATCATATACTTCCGGAAGCTTATGGTGAACATGCTGCATCTCAAGATACTTGTGAACACTGGTTTAAACGCTTTAAAAGTGATGATTTCTATGTCCAAGTCAACCGAAAAAGTTTGAAGACCAACAATTACAAGCATTATTGGATGAAGATGCGTGTCAAACTCAAAAACAACTTGTAGAAAGATTAAACGTTGCTCAGCAAACAATTTCCGATCATTACAAGCAATGGGAAAGATTTTCAAGGAAGGAAAATGGGTGCCACATCAACTGAACGGAAGACAAATGGGAAACCAAAAAGTCATCAGTAAAATGTTGCTTCAACAGCAGGAAAGAAAGTCTTTTTTTGCATCAAATTGTGACTGATGATGAAAAGTGGATTTATTGCCCTAACCGGTTTGGCTCAGTGGATGGAGTGTCAGCCTGCGGACTCAAGGGTCCGAGGTTCGATTCCAGTCAAGGGCATATCCCCAGTAGGGCGTGTGCAGGAGGCAGCTGATCGATGTTTCTCTCCCATGTTTCTAACTCTCTATCCCTCTCCCTTTCTCTCTGTAAAAAAATCAATAAAATATATTTTTAAAGAAAGAAGACAATGCTCTGTGTTTGGTGGGATCAGGAAGGTGTGGTGTATTATGAGCTTCTAAAACCAGGTTAATACTGATAGATACTGACAACAAATAATCAATTTGAACCATGCTTTGATCGTGAAATGACCAGAATGTGCCAGAAGACATGGCAAAGTAATTTTGCTTCATGATAACGCACCATCACACACTTCAAAACCAGTTAAAGACACGTTAAAAGATCTTGCCTGGGAAGTATTAACCCACCCGCTGTATTCACCAGACCTTGCTCCTTCAGATGACCACTTGTTCCGATTGATGGCACACGCACTTTCTGAGCAGCACTTCAAAACATACGAAGAAGTGGAAAATTGGGTCTCTGAATGGTTTGCCTCAAAACAAGAAAAGTTCTATTGGAACGGTATCCACAAATTACCTGAAAGATGGGGGAAATGTGTAGCTAGCGATGGACATTACGTTAAATAAAGCACTTTTGATGTTTCTCTTGAAATTATTGTGTTTTCTTTGATTACAAAATCCGCCATCATTAACTGGTACACCTAGTAAACTTATTTTTGGTATATCAAGACATGAATAAAAATATATTTTGAGCCCAGATGGTGTGGTTCAGTGGTTGAGCGTCAACCTATGAACCAGAAGGTCACAGTCAGGGCACATGCCCAAGCTGCAGGCTTGACCCCTAGTGGGTGGATTGATGATTCTCTCTCGTCATTGATGTTTCTGTCTCTCCCTCTCCCTTCCTCTCTGAATCAATAAAAATATATTTTAAAAAAATATAGATTTTTTTGAAAACCTCATAATAAAAAGAATAAGAACATTTCTTAAGGAGTCATATGTATGCAAACAGTAAATTTTTTTTAGAGTTCACATACTGAATATAAGCATTACCATAAAAATATTACCTTTCTCTTATGAATCCTTTATGTACAATCTAACATGGCTAATAATTTAAACAGAAAAGTAATTTAACCTATACAGGGGAGTTCTAAGCAAGAACATTTAAGGTTTGTTAAAAATAACTAATTTACTGCACACCTGTAATTCTAAATTACACCACCAAAAATACACTGAAAGGGCTGAGCCAGGGCATTCATAGCAGTATGCCAGAGGAATATGAGAACCAGTTTGGAAGTATCCAAATAAACCACCAGGCTGGCTCCACACTTAATACAGTTCAATAGGAAATTGAGGTGAACTGCTTCTACATCCAGAAACGTCATGGCTGCTGCTGCTGCTACCAGCTTTAAGGCTTCCAAAACTGAATTACTGAATGGTAAAGCAGTAAAAATGTCACCTACTTTATCCATCATGTCCCAAAACTGGTTCACACACTCCTTAAAATGAAAAAATAATTTGGCCTGCAATCTCTTACAAAATTCTGCATTTTCAAAGCCACATTCCTGGTTCTTGGAACTACTATACCTTATTATCAATGGAAGTATCCATTCAGTGGTTCAACCAAATCACAAGAACACAAATTTGGGGATATTCCAAAAACTAATTCGAATGAGACCCAACTTTACCGTACAGAAATTCTAAACTTGTATTGAAGCAGCAGTCCCAAAAACCAAGAACACTGCATCTGGGATGCCACATGACACGCCCTTCAGACAAAAAGAAACTTCACTCTTGCCCTAGGAGCATTGGCAGGAATGATTTGGCTGATCAAGGCAGGAAAACAAATCTCACACCAAAACATTTTCCATCTATATTATCTGGAGTAATACTACATGGGAACAGCATACATAACTGTACAGAGAAGTTCCAATGCCTAGTGCTTCGGCATGTCATGGTCGAATTGAGAGATGGGACAATGATGGCAGTGGGCCATTTATATTTTCAAAACCCAATGCTGGGAGCACCATACACATACCAAAATAGCCTATCCAAGTGGCATCTCTGTCACTGAAATGTTAATCATTTGACAAATCAAGCTCAAATCTCTTTTCATTATGAATACTCAAAAAAAAAAAACAAAAAACAAAACACCCCAATACCTTTCAGTCCTTCAAAAAAACTGCATTTAAGAGTAATTTGAGTCTCAGTTTCCCTTGGGGGTGTGGGGTGAGAGGAGACTTCAAGGCATTAGACAAATTGTTCTCTATCAACAGTTTTGTCTAAACCAGGACTGAGCAATCTCTTCAGCCCTGAGTGCCACCAGCAGGGTCAGGAATCAGGAAAAGAAAGGAAGACAGAAGAAACAGAGTAAGAGTGTGGGAAAGAGAGGACACCCTGGTGTGCGCAGGGGATAAGGCAGAGGCCCATGGAGGCAACCGACCTCCTCGGACCTCCTGGTGGCAGCAGAGCTTCTGTTGTTTTCCCTGCCCTAAGCCCAAATTTGGACACCTGGGCTGTGACTGATGTGACCTGAATGCTCTGCATTACACAGGACAGGCCTTATTTTGAGCTCTCCAATTGCCAATCTAAGAATTTTCCCCTGGGGGGGGAAGCTTAACAATTTTAGCTCAAGTTAATGTTTTTATAATTTAGAATCTGAACAGCACAAGTTCCAGCTACCAAATTTTGATCTCAGAAAAACATCCACAAAATTTAAACAAACTACCTTCCCACAAGAATTTAAAAGCTTAAAAAGAGAGACAGAGATCAAGAAAAGGTAACACCTCTCCCACCTATTATGAAAAATTCAAAAAAATGTCCTTACCACAAAGAGGCTCCCCTCAAGCTTAAATGAAGCCCTATTATCATATTAAGCCAATAAAATCATTTATAGGCCAAGGGACCATCAAACCACCCTATTTGACACACAGGTGCACGACCACAAATAAAAGTAGGGTGGATAGGAGGGCTTAACTCTCAAGCCTGGACAGAACACATGCTCTACCCAGACAGCTTCCACTGACAAAAAGTAACCAAGGAATTAGCCACAGAAAAGATGACACACCAACCTTCTTACCCTACTCAACCACCAGTACCATTACCTTTTTCTTTAACCAGGTCTTTAAGTGACTGCCATTTCACATCAAAAGGTATGTTTGTAATGAAGGCTCTGTATCTTTTGGTTGGATTGGCATATGGCTCAAAGCGATTGCCCCCTCTTTTTATGTTTTTCTCTTTTCTCTTCTCATTCTGAGTAGGTCGTTCTCCTTCACTGAATCGAAAAGAAAAAAGAAAAGAGGGTCCATATGTTAGCACAATATAAAAGATAGTATATCATTTGTCAGGTTTACAATTCAAACAAAGTTACATACAACACAAGACTAATATTAATTTTGATGAGACATTTAAACTAAAGTGTCCCATAGAGCAGAAAGCTGCAGTAGTGCACCCCTTAAACCCACCTATCAAGAAACTGGTCCCAGCTCAGCCGGCGTAGCTCAGTGGTTTGAGTGCTGACCTATGAACCAGGAGGTAACAGTTCAATTCCCGGTTGTGGGCTCAATCCCCGGTGTGGGGCATGCGGGAGGCAGCTGATCAGAGGTTCTCTCTCATCATTGATGTTTCTGTCTCTCCCTCTCCCTTCCTCTCTGAAATCAATAAAACATGTATTTAAAAGGAAAAAAAAAGAAAAGAAACTGGTCCCAAGAAAAGTGTGCTCTCCTAGTCATTCTCACACTCCTACGGGGCATAACAGAAATGGGAGTAAGAGGCCAACTCCCTGCCTGAGGTGCTTTAGTTCCAAGACAGAAATATGAAAAGAGAAGGAAAGATTTACAAGGCCCTGGCCAGTGTGGCACTGTTGGGCACTATCCCATGCACCAAAAGGTTGCTGATTCGATCCCAGGTCAGGGTACATGTCCAGGTTGTGGGCTCAATCCTCTGTAGGAGATAGCCAATCAATGTTCTGCTCTCACACTGATGTTTCTCTCCCTTCTCCCTTCCTCTACCTCTAAACAAAAACAAAACAAACAAACAAAAAAACTTAAAAAAAAAAAAAGATTAAGATCTCATGGAATGAGATTAAGAAATGAGGTGGTACACACAGACCCAATCAATTTTAGCTTCACAAATAAAAGTGCCTTTTATTGTGTGTGTATGTGTTTTTAATTGTTTAAGTGGGAATGTAAGCACTAGTCCAGTGATGGCGAACCTTTTGAGCTCGGCGTGTCAGCATTTTGAAAAACCCTAACTTAACTCTGGTGCTGTGTCACATATAGAAATTTTTTGATATTTGCAACCATAGTAAAACAAAGACTTATATTTTTGATATTTATTTTATATATTTAAATGCCATTTAACAAAGAAAAATCAACCAAAAAAATGAGTTCGCGTGTCACCTCTGACACGCGTGTCATAGGTTCGCCATCACTGCACTAGTCGGTTTGGCTCAGTGGATAGAGTGTCAGCCCGAAGACTACAGAGTCCTGGGTTTGATTCCAGTCAAGAGCATGTACCTTGGTTGCAGGCTTGATCCTGGGCCCTGGTTGGGACATGTGCGGGAGGCAACCAATCAATGTGTCTCTCTCACATAGATGTTTCTCTGTGTCTCTCCCCCACCCTTTCCACTCTCTAAACAAAAACAAACAAA